ATTTAAAACAATTTATTTACAGTGGGTAGAATTATTACCCTTTGCTTTAAAGCTTTGATATTTATGTGCATGATGTTGGTTTAAATCCCATGTCACAAGTTCTATTTATTTAAAGCAATTTATTTACGGTGGGTAGAATTATTACCCTTTGCTTTAAAACTTTGATATTTATGTGAATGATGTTGAATCAAAGCCCTTGTCACAATCCTTATTTACTTTAAAGCAATTTCTTTACCATGGACGGTTTTATCGCCTATTGCTTTAAGTTTTGATGGTGCTGAATTAAAGCCTTTGTCACAAGCTTTATTTACTTAAATGCAATTTATTCATTATGATTGGAATTACCGCCTATTGTTTTAATTTATTTATTGCATTTATCTTTTGTTACAATGAGTATATATAGGACCTAAAGTTCATTGATCAGATCAGAACCTGCAGTTTCTTGATCCTCATCATATAAAAATGATTGGATCTGAAGTTCCATCACGCAAAAAGATCAGGTATGAAGTCCCTTGATCCTGAAGATCAGGACATGAAATTCCTTGATGAGTACCGTAAGTTTGAAGTGTCACAGTGCCTCAACTTAATTGTATTAAAAGCCATAAGAGTCTCAGTCTACAGACTATTTAATAAGGACCAGAAGTTCCTTATGTCCATACTCAAAATGGTTTAGCAGAAGTATTTATTAAGCGGATGAAATTGAATACCCGCGCTTTGCTCATGAAAACGAAATTGCCAGTTTTGACATGGGGACATGTCATTTTACATAATTCATTATTAAGTTTGGTTGAGACCAGTTGCCAACCATCAATATTTCTCAGTATAACTCGTGTTTAGGCACCAACAAAACATTATACATTTACGAGTTTTTGGTTATGTTATCTATGTGCCTATTGCACTGCCATAACGTACTGAAATAAGGCATCATCGCGGATTAGGCATTGATGTTGAACACCATCTATCATTCAATATTTGGAACTCTTGACTGGGGATATATTTACCGCATGATTTGCATACTATGATTTTGATAAGATAGTTTTCCAGCCATTAGGGGGAGAAAATAACATTGTTCCAAAATAATGATGAGAAAATATCATTCCAGAAGAATGATAAGAAAAGACCATTCCAGAAGAACGAAGAGAATTTGTCTTATTTTGATTCACGAAGCAATCAATATGAAAATAAAGTAATGATGCAACGAAAGTGATGAAATCATATATACTTGCTGCAAATGTGCCTACAAGAATTGATGTCATTGTTGGACAATATAATGAGGCAGTAAATGATTTCTCTGTTGCACGCCTGAAGCGTGGTAAACTTTTAGACTCAAAAGGTTTAGTCATTTGAAAGAAGAAGAATATGACACTACTGAACTATTGTATTCCCGAAGCATAACTGTTGCATGCCAGAAGCATGATAGTCACCGCATGGATACACGTTCCAGAAAGGACGATTTGCGGACATGGGAATATTGATGTCTTATGCATGAAGCATGATAGACGTATAGGTTCCAATGACTCAACTCTCAGAAGTGGAGATTAAAATCCAAGCTCTATAATGCTTAAGAAGAGGTTATGATCCGCATTCTCTAAATTATGACTATCCTGGAAAATATAGTGTAATGCCCTTGAAGAGGCAATGGATATCCAAAGAAATGAAAAGCTTTTATGCATGCGCATGCACATAAGAATATGGGATCACTGATTGATGATAACCAATGGTAATTTTGGTTTTTACAAGTAGCTACTAAATTCATCAAATGAGCTGTGTTGATATTGAGTCCCGTTCTTTTTCTATCAACAAAATTATTGGCCAAAAATGGAGAAAGGCAATTCCATTACAATTTTGTAAGAACGTGAAAAAATGGACCTATATATTTGAATACAATACAAATAGTCAAAAGATGTTGAGCCAAATAGGTTACATATGGGCACTTGTAATACAGTGTAATACATTAACATGATATGACACAAGGTTACTAATTGAAACCTAAAATTATACTCTTGTAAACGAGTTCATATAAATGGAGAATTATATACGAATGGTTGTGAGTTGCCCACATCATATCTCCATAAGTAAATCCCTCAAGTATACATGGGAACAAATTGATCTGTATAAATTCCAAAGGAAAATGTGTCATGAAGTGTAGAAAATCCCTGAATGATTCAAATTACTTGAAGCAAGCCCCCGAAGGGTAAAACATAAAATATGTACTCAATACCAATGGATGGTATAAATTGCCTTAGTGAGTACTATCATTATGATATTGTTGTAACATATTAAAATCTCTTGCAAGAGTCAATGACATTAAATTAGAACTTCTGAAGAGTTGATGATATTAAATTGAGACTCCTGAAAAGTCAAGAAAGATTATAAAGTGTCGAGAGAATTATTGTCTCGAGCTGCAAATCGAACAATCTACCAAAACGAATCTTATCCATGATGTTAAAGAACCATATGGATTGAAGATTATGAGTTGAATACTCAAATGATGTAGACACTAAGAAAGATCATTTATCTTCGTGAGGGTAAAGATAAATGGATATTTGGTCCAGAAGTACCACATCTTAGTGAAGTATATGCTTTATTGTATTTGGCACAATACATTAAATGAAATAAAGTTTATCTATTAATATCTCCAAGAAATTACAAATATGTACATACACATGAGTTAAAACAATCAAACAGGATAAAGCCTTCACAAAGGTTGCTCATGTGAAGCCTCAGTACTCGGAAGTACCCCAGAAAGGGGAGGCACTGTAGATTGATCATGTGGCACCCCAATAATTAGCAAAACACCAAAGGGGAAAGCATCAGTTGCTTTCGAAATCTAGCAACGAACCTCTGGTGATCACTTTGAATCCAACTTTCGGATTCCTGCAGCTGGTCGAGCTTTCTTTTCATGCTCGTAGAGTAATTATTCGCAAGCATGTGTAACACTTTATTCTCGTGCTTGAGCCCTCTGATCTCTTGTTTAAGACTTGCAACATCATCCATTAATGATTCAACTTGGCGAGTTTGAGCAAGTAGGTGTTGACCCATATTGGATACAGAGCCCGCACATTGAACACTAAGAGCCAATGAGTCTTGAACGGCCAACTCATTATACCTTTTTGAAAGGATCATGTTATCCTTTGGAGTGAGAAGATTCCTAGCTACCACATTAGCAGTTATGTTATTCTTCATCACAGAGTCCTCAATCGTAAGAGGACCATTAGAAGATAAGAAGGACGTGCACCATATATTATCCTGACGTTGTTCGTCTGTATCACTCTTAAGACTCAAATCTAAGCAAATGTTAGATGGGCAAGTTATTTTTAGAAATGATGAAGAAAAAAAAAGAGATCATATAAAATTTCAGAAGTGCAAGATGGGGGAAATTTCTATAGGCAGCAACTTTCTGAGCATACTCTTGAACACAATTGATGTCTCTATAATAGAAGAGGCAACATAGCCACTTGTTTAGAGATCGAAGATGCACCACTCTCTGAATTTCAAAAGCCAGATTTTCCTGAATAAAGTTCGTTGGTATTTTTCAGACGCAATCTCAGCTTGTTTGGATATCGCGTGCAACTTTGTCAAAGATCTCTGACAAAGTTGAAAAGAGTAAAAGCACAGCACCACTACCTGCTATTGGGAAATCTCTATATATGTCGACCTTCTTTCTCTATAACAAGGCAGACCTACAAGAATGTCCAACTCTTCCTCATCTCCGAGAATGCATCTTCAACAAAGGATCTCGAAATACTCAGTTTTCTTCCTCTCCGAGAATACCTCTTCAAACAAGTCACACCAGAGCAAGATTATCTCATATCTTCAGGGACGAAGGCAAGAGTAGTCATCTTCAACTGTTGTTGAAGCTGGGTCTCCAGTCACCAAGAAGTGATGAACCATTCACATGCAAGGGTTTGCATTCCACTTCTGCATCAGGGGACAAATCCTACAAGAGAAGATGCCACACATGTAGGGGGAAAACCAGGGAAAATACCACTTATGCAAGGGGAACAAGTAAGGCAAGTGAAAATGATATATTGAAGCATGTGGAGACAAGCGCAACAAACACGTGTTGATTCATCCCCAACAAAGCCGAAGATCACTTGCCACGTGAAGCTCCTCACGGTACAACTTCATTCAAAATCAAGCATCGAAGGTCCTTGAAGAAATCACAAGTTTGATTCAAGATCAAGTGTCCACCACCCTTGAATTAAATTTAGCTCCAGATAAAAGAAGTAAATTATGACCTTTGGAGTAGGTCTAGCAGAAGGCCCTCCAGCCTAGTTCAAGAACAAGCCTGTGGAAAGTTAACAACAAATAAAACACCTCTTTCGACAACTCTTCTTACTAAGAGACTGAAGCAGAATGATCAACGATCAGCCTAAATGATTTGAAATCAGGGGGAGCATCCAAAACAGATCAAGATCTTAACAAGTCAATTGAAGACTTATGTGGGCATCCAATGGGGAGTGTTGTAAATAGTGGGTATGTTTGCCCACATGTGTATAGTAATGTGTATAGTAAAGTACCACATGTGTAAAGTAAATACTCACATGCATATAGTAAGCCTTTCACTATGTTGCTTGTGATTTGCTTATATAAAAGCAAGTCTTATGGAACACAACAAAAAAAAACAAAGGGAGAAGATGAAATTGAGAGGTTCATGTGAGAGATAGGAAGGAAGAAAGGAAGAGAGAAAAGAGAGGAAGATGAGAGGAGATAATAGAGAGAGTTATCGTTGTACTCTTATTATTTCAAATTATAATGAAAGCACCACTGCTGCCCCGATGACGTACTCCAATCACACTGACTGTAGAGGAACCTCGTAAATTTTGTATCTTGTTTATATATTCCACTGCACACGCCGTCGATTTTACAACCGTTCATTCTTATGCATTTTGTTTTCATGGAATTTGGATGAAAACAAATTCCTTTGTCTTTGGATGGGTTGTCCAATATTTCTGTCAACGGCCCAACTTCGCTGACCGACTTGATAAACTTGATTAATAATAAGTGTATCCTAAACAACGGCTACAGAGCTGACAATCTTGCACTTGGTCGAAGTCCCGAAGTAGGTGGCACGAGACGAGGTGGTAACTGAAACCTCACTCTGTTTTTCCGGAATCTCACAGAGACAGAGCTCGATCCCATGGCAGCTTCCAAGGTCCAAGCTTTCTGGAACCACCCCGCAGGCCCTAAAACAAGTTTGTTCTTTCATCTTTTTTTGCCTCTTTCAGTTTTCTCCAATAGCTCTTATATGTCTTTGAGGGTTTTACAAATAATTATGTTGTAAAAGATTTAATCCTTCAAAAGATTGAATTTTGGCATCTGGGTTTTGGTTAATCAGGCAGATAATCAGGTCTTGAAAACGGAGTACGCAATTTTTTACTACAATTTTTGAAACGGAATGGCAGGATTTGTCAGTTTTGATTGTTTACAGGATTATTGTTAATTTCAGAGAAAGCTAGTCAATATATCCTGATAATTTAATGTCATAAAAACCTTGGGGAATTGACCAAAATGATCATTTTTTCAAATCTCAAGTGCTGAAATGATCAGTTTTTCAATTTGTCTTTAGATATCTGATTGCTATTTCGTCGATTTGATTTTGATCGGTTCAGCAACTGGGATTTGTATTCCGATCATTTTAGCCAATTTTCCTAAAAGTTAAAACCCCTATTTTGGAGATGAATAATTTCTTTTAGTCTCAAGAACTCCCAATTAGAGATAATATCAATAGTAAGTCTCTGCTCTAATCCTTAATAGAAGTCTCTGGCCTACTCAAAAGTACAAATATTTGGGAAGGAGAAAAAATTCAACATTACAAATCTCGAATTGTGTCATGATAAAACTGAGGTGTCTAGGTGGGGCTATTGAGTCATGTTATTTTAGTGACTGATATTTCTCATGACACAGTTCACTTCTGGGCTCCAACTTTTAAATGGGGTATTAGCATAGCAAATATTGCTGATTTCTCAAAGCCACCGGAGACGCTGTCTTATCCTCAGCAACTAGGTACGCACCTTTTAGGAAATAGCTTTTCAAGCAGTCCATTTGATCTGTGCTTCGAATTGTGTTGTCATACCTCAAGTATCATTGTGCAGCTGTTACATGCACTGGACTTATTTGGTCTCGTTACAGTATGGTGATTACTCCGGTATGTTTTGTTTCTAGCTCTGAAGGATGTTATCGTTCAACACTTACTGCTTTCGTTTATAACGGTTCAGTCTGAATTTCATGATTTAAAAAATACTGATTGCTTGACAAAGCTGTAAAATCCTGCACTGAGTATTTCCTTCTAAGTTTAGATTCACTTTAATATATTCTTCTGTTTGTAATGCTTAAGAAAACTACTTCTTGATGCTTCTGACAACTTTACTTGCAGCTAAAGCTTTCGTAATATTATTCTGAAACTGCAGAAAAACTGGAATCTGTTTAGTGTCAATGTTGCAATGGCTGGGACAGGCTTGTATCAACTTTCCCGCAAAATCACGTAAGCTGGATTCTAGTAAAATATATATTCATATGGTTAATAATAAATGGTTTGGGAATTAATTTTATCTTCGGTGGAAAGTAGCATTTATGAGGAAAGGGAGATTTTCTTGCAAAATTATCAGAACATGCTCACATTTGCATTTTTTTTTCATGCTTTTAATTGCCTTTCCTACTACTTACAGGCACGACTACTTTTCCGACACTGAAGCAGCTGTAGCAGAAGAGTAAATCACAAACCTTTCAGTAGGTACGTTGGGTTCATGCTGCAAGCTTTTCTATATGTGAAATATATGAAAGAAACCGTGCATCCGTTGTAGCTTCGGTTATCTTTAGCTTGTAATTTTGGACCGAATATTTTCAATCTCCTACCATTGCACCTTCGTTTGTTCTTGAATTGAGAGAACCATCTGTTCTTTTCTTTGTCGGAGCAACTTGAGAGGCAACGCCTGAGCTTGAACTTTTGAAAAGTTGTCGGTTGTTGGGATACTCGAATGTGGATTGGAGGATGACAGTAATAATACTATAAACTGATGGACTTAATGTCCAGAAGTTTTTCGGAGTTCATGCTTCCTAAGAATTTTTCAGTTTTTATTACTTTTGTCCTTGATTGCTGTTTTTTGTGCAATAATTGATTTACACTAATATGTTACTGCTTTACCATTGATGATATTTTGCGATTTGCAGTCTCGTGTTAAATTTAATGATATACATGTTAGACACGTACATTATCAAAATAACCCGCAATTTATTATTTTTCTTGATACAAACGATATTGGGAGAGGGAACCGAACTTGGGAGCTCAGGGATAAGGGTGAATGTTTTAACGCAATTTTTTTTTTTGTTCACGTCAATATAACATAACCTTGGTCTTGCCCTTTCAACTAATTTACATCTTTACCAAATCCAGCAGCAAACCCATATTCACCGGGCAATGAAGGAGTGTGTAGACAACTTATTCCAAATTTGTTTTTACATAGGATACTCAATTGAGGCGACAAGGAAGAAGAAGGATGCCTTCTATGAACCATGTCAAAAGTATTGAGGTAGAGAGTTAAAGAGAGGGAGAAGAAGTGAGGTGGCAGCAAGAGAAAGGTCCGAGAGTTCTGGAAGGGGACATGGGACAGACGAAAAGAACTGGTGTGGGCCCCACATGGCTCACAAAATATCTCCCAACATGAAATTATCAATTTGCCCTATGTATTCGGTGTTTTGTAAAATCTTAATTGTAGCTTCAAATTTGATTCCGTTTGCACCTACGTGTTCATATCGTTGAGTACTTCAAGAATATGTGTGTGTGACTTTGGGTCAAGCCTAATAATAATTAAATAGGTACAAGACTTAATTAATAAAATATTAACGTAAACGGCCTACTTGCCCATTTGCTTAACGAATTCAACAAATAAGTTATTGATATTACGGTCTGCAATCTACATACCGACAACTCACTATTGTCTCGATAAACAAGTAATAAATTCACAAGTGCAAAATTATCATTTTGCCCCTTATTGGGAAATGTGTATAAATTGTCCGATTTACACCCGTTCATGCTCACGTGTTTGAAAGAACACGTACCACCTAGAGGTATGTGCAAATGAATAGAGGGAAGGACTCAAATGTCCACGAAGGTTTCCACCCGTCAAGGGCATTTTCGTAATTTTCCAAGGTTAAGGAATAAAATAATATTAAACTCGGGGACGGAATGTCACAAATGATACGGTTGTAGATGATTTGATTATTAATTAAGTTTTGGTTAACTTGTTTATCTCTTATTGATAACACATAATTTCGTTTGCAAATTTAATTTAAAAATTAGGTCTCCCTAACATTATCCTTAGTATATAACTGCATCATATAATCGGTTCGTATAATTTTATCTTGTACGAGCCGCCTTAGGCCTAGTTTGGTATTGTTGTGCTTTTTTAAAAATAAATGCTTCTGATGTGCCGTGAGAATAAACAACTATAAAATAAAGTTGTTGAGTGTTTTTTTAGTAAAAGTGCTTTTAACAAAAAAAAAAAACAGTATCTGAGTATTTGGTAAACTTTTATATAAATTGTTGTAAATATATTAAATAACTAAAAATGGTATGTTATTTAATGTAATATAATAATTGTCAAAGACAACAATGTCGATGCAATGATTGTAATTTTGTAAAATATGTGGAGGTATACTTGTTATTTGAAAATTTCATTAAATAACACTAATTTCCATGCTTTGAAAAAAAAAACACTTTTTTTTAGAAGCATGTTAGACCCAACTTCTGCTTTTCTATGTTTTTCTACTATCATTGACAACAGTTTTTAAAAATTATATTTTTTTTATGTTTTATCAAACATATTTGATGTTTCATATTTTTTTTAATAAACTGTTTTTTCAAAACAACCACAGTTCAAACGAGCCCTTAAATAAATAAATAAAGAAATAAAAAGCCGGTCGGATAAAGTAGTAATTGCATTCGTCACCAAGGGCGACTCTCACTTTAGCTCAGCAGCTCTCGTCAGGGTTTGCTTTCCAGTTTCCGTTTCCAGGTCTGAGCTGAGCTTTTGCCAGAAAATCAGAGTCCATCTTTTTGCTTGCGGCTCTCTGCTTCCATGGAAACGTAGGTCACTCCTCTGCTCGGATGCTTTTAATTCTTCAGATTCATTTGGTCTCTTTGTTGCTGCTTGCTTTCTTAAGGGTTTGAATTGAAATGGTAGATTGAAGGGTCAGAAGAAGATGAGGGACAACCTTGTATCCGTGGATTTCTCATGGAAAGTTGAAAACTTCTCCAAGTTGAATAACTTCAAGCATTACTCTGATGTTTTCTCAGTTGGAGATTATAAATGGTATTATTTTCATACTATATCTTGCTAATTAACATGCTTCCATAAAGCCTTTACGATTTGATTGGATTGGATTGGATTGGATTGGATTGGATATCTCACTAACTTCAAGATGTGTTGGAGGGAGGAAGAAATTGAGGCCAAGTTCTCAGCTTTTTGTTTAAGTTTCCTTCATGACTAGTCCGTCTGATTCCTTCAATTTGGACAAAATTTGGAACTAGTGAGTTATCAGATCTAACCCAATCCTAAGCACCAAACATGGCCGGATGCCGTAACCTTGTGACATGTAATGGTTTTGAGTTTGAACTTTGCATTGTTTGGTTTGGTCAGGCAAATCCTTTTGTATCCAAGGGGGAACAATGTAGACTTCTTGTCGGTGTATTTGGTTGTCGCAGAGTCTTCAAAATTGCCACCTGGGTGGTCGAGATATGCTGCTTTCAGCTTGACTTTGGTCAATCAACTTCACCCCAGCAACTCAAAAACATTGGGTACTTTTGTTTTTCTGTTTTCGTTGTTCACTTCGCATTTGTTTTCGTTTGTTTTCTTGTTATCGTATCTATGTTATGGCAGATATAATTGATTACAATTAAATGGAACTAGTGATTATTGCATCATTTTGTGGACATTTTGTTATGATTCGGATTCAGTTATACGCTCACTACAAAGGAATAATTTTCTATGTGACTGCAAATCCATTCCTGATGGCTTCTTTAACAATACAAGATACTGCGCAAAGACAAGAAATTTGTGAATTTGTTTCTCTTGTTTGCAATGAAGAAAGCTATAACTAGACATGAAGTAGAATGGTAGCGGTACTTATACTATTTCTCTTGTTTGTTCTGAACCATTTTATCTCTTTCTATGGAACTACGTTCGTGATTAAGAGACTCTAATTTGGAGTATTCTGATCTTTGACCATGCTTACTGTGGAAAGATTTGGACCTTGAATCTGGTTGTATAGTTAGCAAATTTAACCACTTACTAGAGCCTTATTGTGGGTGTGTGTATATGAAAATTTGTTTGGTCTCTGTTGATCGATGAAAACTTAATTGAGTTTGTATATGAAAAGTAATAATTTACTACAGGCTTCACTTGTCATTATTTCTTTATGACGTAGTAATCAGCTGTGTCTATTTTTAACGTTTTCTTACTACTTTTATCTTTGTTGTTTTGATTTTGCAGACACCGAGCATTTGTTCAATAAAAGGGGAAGTGACTGGGGCTTCACATCATTAATTCCTCTAAATGACTTTTGTAACCCTAGTAAAGGGTATCTTGTGGATGATATGTGTATCATTAGGGCCAAAGTTGCTGTCCATAAAGCTGAAATTAAGATCTTAGAACACCAAGCAAGTAGTTCTGCACCCATTAAGCCCTCAGACAAAAAACGTAAAGAGCTGGAAAGTGGGCAGGCCATCCTAACCATCCCCGACCTTACTCATGTTCCTTCTGGCCCTCCCATAGTCAAGGAACCTGAGGATCTGTCTTCCCCCCCACTTGGAGAGCTTGAGGATTTTAGGGGTTTAGGGAAAATAGAGAAAGCTTTTGTTCCACTACTAGATGAGGTTTGTGTTAGGAATGTCGGTACTACAAGATAGAGAATGCACAAGGTAAAGTAGAAAATGGACGCCAAGAATTTATGTGGTTCGGCAATTTATGCTACGTCCACCAAACAAGGAATCTTCACTATATGAAAAAGATGAATACAACAAGAGTAGTCTTACCAAGCCAAAGACAAGGCTTGATGGATACAAGAAAGTATAACACACACTTTCTATCACTCTAAACTTCACTCACACAATGTGTAGTGGAACACTCTCACTCTCACTCTTGGAGTGGAACTCTAGCTTTGGACTTGATCCTTTGCTACTCACTCTTTCTCTTGATTTGTTGTTGGTTCACTACAACATCACACCCATATTTATAGGTGAGGGTTTGGCATTCTACTAGTTTCTAGTGTATTCTTCAAACCTCTAGCATAGAAAAATCTAGACTAGCCACATACTTGTAGCTTCTAGATCTTTCCATTTGCAACCAAGGAAGCTAGTACTCTCTAGCTTCTTCCATCAACTTAATAACATGCTAGAATTGTCTAGCAAGCTCCAGCCTCATCTCTTGCTTACTAGAATAATCTAGAACATTGATCATGGGCTGGACCATATACCAACAATCTCCCCCTCCAGTCCATGAGGGAGGAATTCCGATCATGACTCCAAGTTACCTGGAGTTCATCCCAGCAGCTTTAATGCAGAATTCCAACTTTGATTTTGTGACTACCTTTGTCAACATGTCTGAAGAATTATTATCGGTATGAATCTTCTTCAGCTGCAGCAACTTGTTCTCGATAGCGTCTCTAATCCAGTGATAACGAATATCAATGTGCTTAGTGCGTGAATGATATGTAGTGTTCTTGCTCAAATCCAGAGCACTCTGACTATCACAATAAACGCCATAATCACTTTGCTTCAAACCCAACTCTTGGAGAAACTGCTTCAGCCACAACAACTCCTTGCATGCTTCTGTAGCGGCTATGTATTCAGCCTCGGTTGTAGACAAAGCAACACACTTTTGCAACTTGGATTGCCAAGACACGGCTCCCCCTGCAAAAGTAAACAAGTACCCAGACGTAGATTTTCTACCATCCAGGTCACCTTCCATGTCAGCATCTGTAAATCCTTCCAAGATTGGTTTGGAACCGCCAAAGCACAAGCACATCTTAGAAGTCCCCTTCAAATATCTGAGAATCCACTTAACGGCTTCCCAGTGGTCCTTCCCTGGATTAGAGAGAAACCTGCTCACCACACCTACTGCATGAGCAATATCTGGTCGTGTGCACACCATTGCATACATGATACTTCCTACTGCTGAAGAGTAGGGAACAACTGCCATTTTTCTCCTTTTCTTCATATGTTTTTGGACACGACTCTTTGCTCAACTTGATATGATTGGCTAAAGGTGAGCTTACCGATTTGGCTGCTTTCATGTTGAACCTTTCAAGCACCCGTTTCAACATACTTTTCTTGTGACAGCCACAACTTCTTGGATTTTCTGTCACGAATTATCTCCATGCCCAAAATCTGCTTGGCTGGCCCTAAGTCCTTCATGTCAAAGGACTTAGATAACTCTTCTTTGAGCTTTTTAATCATAGAAGCATCTTGTCCGACAATCAACATGTCATCAACATAAAGCAACAAAATGATAAATTTACCTCCAGAAAATTGTTTGATATAGACACAAGAGTCAGCATGAGTTCTCTTGTACCCATTACTACTCACCATGAATGAGTTGAACTTCTTATTCCACTGTCTCGGAGCCTGCTTAAGACCATATAAGCTTTTCTTGAGCTTGCACACCAAAGTTTCTTTACCCTTGACTTCAAAGCCTTTGGGTTGCTCCATATATATCTCCTCTTCTAAGTTACCGTGGAGAAATGCAGTTTTAACGTCTAACTGCTCGAGCTCAAGATCCATGCTTGCTGCCATATACCAAGGATAACTCGAATGGAAGTCATCTTCACCACCGGTGAGAAAATCTCATCAAAGTCAACTCCTTTCTTTTGACCAAAACCTTTGACAACCAAACGAGCCTTGTACCTTGTCATGTTGTCGTCTCTTTTCAATTTGAACACCCACTTGTTTTTCAATGCTTTCCTGCCCTTTGGAAGCTCCACCAGCTCATAGGTATCATTCTTTGATAAGGAATCCATCTCCGACTCCATTGCCTTCATCCATTTGTCACTGTCGTTATGAGCTCTGGCTTCCTCATATGTTTCGGGCTCTCCATAATTAGTCAACATGATATACTCTGATGAAGAATACTTGGTAGACGGTCTTCGACTTCTGCTGGATCTTCTGACCTGATCTTCATTCTCTTGTAGGGCTGGAGGCTCCCCCTGATTGGGTTCTCCTTGAATCTGCTCTTCTTGACTAGGCTCCCCCTGATCAGCAATCTCATGGTCTGGCACATCTTGATCAGGCTCCTCTTGATCAGCATTATCTGATTCTGCAGGCACTTCATTGGCAGTTGCTTCAGGGATGTCATCGTGACTTTCTTCATCTGAAACTAATGGATCAACTCCTCTGACTGCGCCATCTGGTTGTGCCTCTTTATCCGAATCCCCAATTGTTTGATCTTCATAAAAGACCACGTCTCTACTTCGGATAAACTTCTTTCTGGTATGGGTCCCATAATCTGTAACCAAAATCTTCACCGCCATAACCAAGAAAGATGCACGGTGTAGCTTTGTAGTCTAACTTCGATCTCTGCTCTTTGGGCACATGCACAAAAGCTTTGCAACCAAACACCTTCAGATGAGAGTAAGACACATCATTACCAGTCCATACTCTCTCTGGAACATCAAGACCTAATGGTACTGATGGAGATCGGTTGATCAAATAGCAGGCTGTCCTTACAGCTTCACCCCAGAACTGCTTAGATAACTTTGCAGTCCTCAACATACACCTGACTTTCTCCATGATGGTTCGGTTCATTCTTTCAGCAACACCGTTATGTTGTGGAGTTCCAGGAACTGTCTTCTCATGACGTATGCCATGTTTTACACAATACTCTCTAAACTGGTGAGATGTGTACTCGCCGCTGTTGTCGCTACGAAGGCACTTGAGAGGTTTCCCAGTTTCCCTCTCCACCATGGCATGGAACTCCTGGAATGTCTGAAACACCTGGTCTTTGGATTTCAAACAAATACACCCACACCCTTCGTGAAGCATCATCAATATAAGTAACAAAATATTTATTTCTTCCAAGTGACTCGACTTCCATGGGACCACACACATCTGAATAAACAAGATCTAACAAGTTTCCTTTCTTTGTAGATGGAACAGAAAAACTAACTCTTCTTTGTTTTCCGAATAAACAATGCTCACAAGAGTTTAACGACGTACCTTTGGCAAAGGGAATATGAGACTTCTTTGCCAAAACTTGTAGGCCTTTCTCGCTCATGTGGCCTAGCCTCTTATGCCATAAGTCTAGAGATGAGTCTTCCACGGCATTCAACTCACCTTTCAAAACCTTGGCATTTGACCGGTACAACGTACAACAAAGTCGTGCTCTTGCTACCACCATTAAGCCTTTAGTAAGCTTCAATTTTCCTTCGCCAATATGGTGATAATATCCTTGTCGATCAAGAGTACCGATGGATATCAGATTGAGACGTATATCAGGAATATGTCTCACATCTTTCAACATCAATTGGCAGCCGAGATTAGTTCTTAAGCAGATATCACCAATTCCAAGAATTTTGGAATAGCTTTCATTCCCCATCTTCACTATGCCAAAGTCACCTTCTTTGTATGTACTGAAGAACTCCCGTTTGGACGTAGCATGGAAGGAAGCTCCATTATCAAAGATCCATTCAATGTCTCTGTCAGAGTTGCCCATATGCAGACATTCACCAACAGACAATATTTCTGGTACATCACCACATATGACAGCGGTGGTATTGCCAGTATCATCTTTCTTCTGATTGTTTCCTTCCCTTTGCTCTCTCTTCCAAACTCGACAATTTTTTCTTCATATGGCCTTCTTTGCCACAGTGGTGGCATGCACCCCTGAACTTTGACTTGGATCGGCTAGGACTCCTGCCATGACCTCTAGGCCCTCTACTCTTGCTTCTTCCGCGGTTCTCTGTGACAAATACTTGGCTGCTATCTGTGCCAGAAGTCTTTCTCCTTGTTTCTTCATTGAGCATGCTATTTTTAACATTATCAAGAGTAAGAACACCATTAGAAGCAGAGTTACTTATACTCACCACAAAGGTCTCCCAACTGTCTGGCAAGGATCCAAGTAACAAGAGCGCTTGTAGCTCGTCCTCGATCGTCATTTTCATAGTAGCCAACTGGTTGATGATATTCTGGAAATTGTTCAAGTGTTCTGCTACACTTAAACCATCCTTGTACTTCACATTTGATGAGCTCTTTGATCAAGAAGGCTTTCTTGGCTGGGGTCTTCTTCTCGAACAAGGACTCAAGCTTCGTCCAAAACTCGCGAGCATTGGTTTCATTAGACACATGGTGAAAAACACTATCATCCACCCATTGTCTAATTGTGCCAATAGCCTTGCGATTCATCTTCTTCCACTCGGCATCGGACATGCTCTCGGGCTTAGCGGCATCTCCTTCAATTGGCTCATGCAAATCCTTGCAATAGAGAATGTCCTCCATCCTTGGCTTCCATGTTACCCAATTGGAGTTGGTGAGTTTGATCATAGTGCCACTTCCTTCCATCTCGTAGTACGAGCCAACCGGGCTCTGATACCACTTGTTAGGAATGTCGGTACTACAAGATAGAGAATGCACAAGGTAAAGTAGAAAATGGACGCCAAGAATTTATGTGGTTCGGCAATTTATGCCTACGTCCACCAAACAAGGAATCTTCACTATATGAAAAAGATGAATACAACAAGAGTAGTCTTACCAAGCCAAAGACAAGGCTTGATGGATACAAGAAAGTATAAACACACACTTTCTATCACTCTAAACTTCACTCACACAATGTGTAGTGGAACACTCTCACTCTCACTCTTGGAGTGGAACTCTAGCTTTGGACTTGATCCTTTGCTACTCACTCTTTCTCTTGATTTGTTGTTGGTTCACTACAACATCACACCCATATTTATAGGTGAGGGTTTGGCATTCTACTAGTTTCTAGTGTATTCTTCAAACCTCTAGCATAGAAAAATCTAGACTAGCCACATACTTGTAGCTTCTAGATCTTTCCATTTGCAACCAAGGAAGCTAGTACTCTCTAGCTTCTTCCATCAACTTAATAACATGCTAGAATTGTCTAGCAAGCTCCAGCCTCATCTCTTGCTTACTAGAATAATCTAGAACATTGATCATGGGCTGGACCATATACCAACAGTTTGTTCATGGCATCCTTCACTGATTGAATGCCAACGCAAGAGAAGTCGCATGTTTATTGAGTGGGCGTTCACAGCCTTGGGCCGGCTTTTGCATTTTATGAAGACGAAAAAGGTCAAGGACATGACAGACGAGGCATGTGAGGAACTGAAACTTTTGTGGGAGGAGCTTGAGGCCTTCAAATTTGACTTGGCTTGGCTGGAGCCTAGTGTTCAAAGGGCCTTGGGTATGAAGAAGACTGTGGAAAGTTCGGGGAAGTTGAAAAGACTGAGAAAGGATGTGGACGCTTTACAAACACAAACGAAGAGGCTGAGGGCCGAGCTAGCTGTTGCGGAGGTAAATCTTGAGGCAGCGGTAAGAGATTTAAACAAGACTCAAGAAGGCTTGGACGAGATAGACATCAACGGGGAGCTGGGTTACGGTAGGGGTTAGCCTTATTTTATGATTCTCTTTTGACATGCATCCCAAGTTTGTTTATGTAGCATTTTCAAGTTGTACGAATAAACAAATAAACTTGTAAGTTTGTTTATGTAGCTTAGTTTGTTACATATGTTTGTTGAAGAATTCATATGTTTGATGCTTCTGTTTCCCTTTCGCCAAGAGAAGGATTCCCTGTCCTTTATTTGATTTGGATTTGTGTGTTGGTCGGGGACTTTTTCTCTTCTTCGAAGCTTGTGTTTATAGGTCACGGATGAGTCCGATCATGGCTGCCAATTAATTGGCTTGTGATTATGACAATCAGCGAAAATCTTCCTCAATTAGTGATAGCTGAAATTGACTGGCCTGAACCCACATGCGAAAGAGAGATCTTTGCCGGATCCTCTTTGTGCGATGATCTTCTAATCACATCCGTTTATCGTATATTGTGCGATCAGTTTTTATCAGGTACTGTTTATATTTAATTTTAAATTAAAAAATTTACAATGATTTTAAATTAAAAAAGTTTTTATCTGGATTGCGAAAATCTTCCACAAGTTACGTTAGTCACCTTCAAGCCACTTGCGAAGTTGCGACCAAATATCGGGAGCGCCACCCGAAAAGCTTCTGGAGCCTTCTAAACCCGAAAGCAAAAGCCTCTCCTCAAGAACCCAACTGGTGTTCTGACGGAAACGCCCTCCGCAAGACGACCAAAACATTCCCATCCAGAAGGGTAATTTCGTCACCCGGAAAATCCCACCGGCAACAACCTTGTTTCGTCTCTGTTTTTCTCTCTCCAAGCACAAGATTTTTCTCACTTCCCCTCACAAACCCCTCCCCCTACAAGGCCACCGCAGCCTCTCTCTCTCTAGATCCCCAAATTTTGATTCCCATTTTGCCCCTCGAATTCCCCAGCCATGTTCGTGTCTAGGGTTTTAGCTCGGGCCTCGAGGACCCTCCCGAGGAGCGCAATGCTCGTGGCTGCTCCGCAGAATCATCACTTGCCAATCCTGTGCAATCAGTCCCATGCTCTGATCCACGATTTTTCCTCTAAGGTGCTGTAAAATTCCCTTTTCTGTTCAATTTTTCTCGCTAGGGTTTTGCTAGGGTTTTAGGTTTTCTGCAAATTTCACCAATTTAATTTGGTTCCAATTCCCGTTCCTTGTTATCTAGCGCCAGGGTTTTATGTAATTCATTGTTCTTAGTCATGATGATGGTTGTCTGATTTTGGATTCTTTTTTTTTGAATTTTTTTTTATTCTGTTAATATTTGGTTTGTGATATATGGTTAAATAGTTTCAAATTTTTGTATGAGAATTTAATATAGGCTGTTTTTGCTAGTGGATTTTGAATTAGTTGATTAGTTCATTTGTTCTGTATAATTGGCACCTGATGATATTTTTTTCAACATAATTTGACTTCAAATGATAATTAATATCATATAACCTATGATATAGATATCCAAACCTAAGTTTGTGTCACCTTAATTTCTATGCTTATTTTCAAATCTGTTAACTTTAACCAACAATGTTAGTTTTGCCCTTCGGTCTTAGTTATTTTGACTTTCTGCTGGCCGCTGAGTATGAGGTTTTGTTTATACTGAGGGTTGAAGCATACAATTTTGTATTATGTTGGAAGAGCTTAAAGCATACATAATTTGCTCAAAGCGGTTTATTTCATTATGTTTCTCATTTGTTGTCAAACAACAGATTGTTCCGAGGCAGGTGTCCCTATTGCATCATGCAACCCCTACTTCTTCTATCTCTCAAATTTTTGGGTTCTCTTCTTCTGCATCGCCACAGCCTGAAAAGGAACATGGAAGTGCTGTAGAGAATGGTGGCGCTTCAACAAATGGAGAGCCAGAAAAAGCAAGTGGAGATGCGAAAGTAGCTGATCAAACGAAAGAGTCAGGTTATATTTCAGATTCCCAGTCTACCATGTCTCCGCCTGTCAAAAGAAGGAGAGGAGGTACTAAACGAACTGCATTTTCTGATTCAGATTCAGAGAGTGAGGGTGATTTAACTATGGATGACCTGGTAAAACTTGTGACTGAGAAGGAAGATCTTCTGAAGGAGAAACATGAAGAATTCAAGAAAATGCAAGATAAATTCCTCCGAAGTTACGCAGAGATTGAAAATGTCATGGAGAGAACAAAGCGTGAAGCAGAGAATTCAAAGAAATTTGCCATACAGGTCCTGGTTCCTGTCCTCAGAAACTTGTTATTTGCTTCTCTTTTTACCTCATTCTTGTTTGCATGCTTAGTCTTTTGTTTTTTTATTGAGAAAAAAATTTGTCTGAAGTCTAACTCTGAATTCATAAACATGTTGCAGAATTTTGCAAAGAGTTTACTAGATGTTGCGGACAATCTGGCCAGGGCTTCTTCAGTTGTCAAAGAAAGTTTCTCAAAACTTGACGAGTCCAAGGACTCTGGTGGAGCATTCCCACTTCTGAAAACACTTCTAGAAGGTGTTGAAATGACCGAGAAACAACTTTTAGAGGTACACTGTTTTCATCACTAATTACTAGCATTTGCCTACACACTTTGTGTGTACAAACACATTTTCTTTAGAAAATGAGAAGGAGAGAGGGAGAGAGAGAGAACGTGGGGGGAGTGGAAGGTTTTTGTTTTTGGTTTTTTTATGTTATTTTATTTTATATATTGGAGGTATTTTAACATCACCTGTAGGTGAGGTTTCAATAAAAAACAGTTAAATTTGGACCTGTGAAATTACATTATTGCCCATCATTTTTTTTATGTGATAGAAGACTAAGTAATCTTTTCATCCTCTTTTGGTTGACAAAGAGGGTTTCATTAATTAATATAGAGATATAGAGATAATCACTTATTGTAATCCTTCAAGATTTGGGCGGCTTTATAAAGCTGAGATAACATTGTTTTAAAGGTGTTGGATGCGCATTCTGTTTCTCATATGGTCAAAACTCGAAAGTGAAAATTATGTCAGCATCTTTTGCTGTTTTCTTTTCATTGCTAACAGATTATACCGTTTCCAGTTAGTCTCATATGTTTTGTGTCAATCACGCTCATTCTCGCATGTTGTATTTTCTATTTCATGTTCCATTTTGTGTTTAGTTGTGTACTGGACCTACTGGTTAATGGTTTTGTTAGCAAGAGTGGAAATTAAATACAGAGTTATAACGTATAAATGCATTTTGCCATCAGGTATTTAGAAAGTATGGAGTAGAAAAGTATGATCCTACAAATGAAGCATTTGACCCAAACAGGCATAACGCAGTATTCAGTTTACAAGATGCTTCCAAGCCTCCAGGCACTGTTGCGGTGGTTCTCAAGGTACAAAATATAAAATCAATTCTTTTGCATTTCTTTTCAAATGAGAAGGAAATTTACTACTGCTTGGCATTAGTAGTAGTACTATAAGTTAACAAGTTGGAAGCCTCGGGGTGACACTTTATGTGCTGCGATTGAAACTCCAATGGACATCCTGACATCCTGACATCTTACAAGTTTGAGATAAAAAAGTTTGGAATTTAATAAATATGTCCTGTTTCTCTCTACTAGAGTAAATCCTTAGTGGAAAAAATGGCATGAGCTTGATGTTGTTAGAAAACCAGCCATATTCAAAATTGACTTTCGGAACATAGCTTTTGGAGGCACATCTGCACACATTTTTGCACTGATTTTCTTGATAAATGTTTTTGTTTCCAACAACACTAAGTGGCCATTTTTCGCGTTATGATTTATTTAGTAATGGAGAAGAGTCGTTGCAAGGACTTGGATAAATTGTTGGCAGGAATGTGACCATTGAAAGAATCCAAACAGTTGCTTGACTCCTTAGATTATACTATTTTGTTCAACAAAATAGGCTTTTCCTTACAAATCTGTGGGTAGAATTTATTTAACGTTTGTTAAAATGATTAAGTTACTATAGCACCAAGTGCACAAGTAAATACCCTGATGCGATTGTATATTGCAGGCGGGATACATGCTGCATGAACGAGTTGTTCGGCCAGCTGAAGTTGGTGTAACTACGGAAGCGGAGAACAATGCAGACAATTAAACGGCAGCTAACAAAATTTTCCAAGTTACGGCATCGCAGTGCAACAGATAAAGTTACAATTTTTTTTTCCCCATATGTTTGAGAAACTTGAATAAGATTAAATCTTATTCCTGTGACTTAAAAAAGAGTCCATAAACTTTATTTTCCAGCCTGACAATTTTTTCCACCCAATCATTTATATTAGTTTTGTAATATTTTTCTTGTTATGAGTTTTCGAGAGGTTCCAACTTTTGAGCTTGTTGATGGTAACCAAGATTAAATAATTGCTTCTGCTCTCGGTTTTCGTTGTACCGCTGCTGGAGCAGTGTGGTTAGTTTTTCATGTTGCAGCTTCTGGATTCTGGCGTTTGTGCTTTTCGGAGCAAGAGTTTTTAAGAAACCGTGTATTCTTTGTATGTACAGAATCAAAACCACCGCTTAAACCTTGAAACCTTAAACCACCCCCTCATCTTTCATGTCTGGAGTTATCGTACGTCTAGCTTTCATAAAATTTCTCCGTTTCTCATGTCTTGTTACAACGCCTCTGTAGCCGTAGCGGCCAATGGCGATAGGGTGGGTCCAAAGTTCGATTCCCTCGACATAACCAATAAGAAAAAAAAAATTAAAAAATAGGCCGCAGGCACAACATCACAAACAGGAATGGTCACCCATACAGAGAGTGGCACATAGCGTGGCACATAGCTACATGGGTAATCTTTACAAACAGTGGAGTCGAACACTCAGAAACATCATGTGCTCGTTGATCATGTACTACTACTTACTAACCATGCATATAGGGAGATAATCCACAAACTAATCCTACGGCTTAGTTACAAACATCATAAGCAGTATCGTACTAAATACAAATCACACGGCATGAAGAAGTACCCCCTGCCAATGGATAATCGCATGCCGCTCTAGGTTTTGTCTTCAGCATCAATCCAACCAAAATCTCTCTGAGCTTCCCTTCTTCACCTGAACTATTAAATCAAGGTTGGAACTGTGACCTTTCAAGCCCAAATCTAAATCCAGATGGCTTCTGTTTGAATCCTGCAAGCCAGACTGGTTCTCGTCCGACTCCTGCAGCACGGACATCATCAGGTCAATAACTTATTGCATGGTAAATTACTTTACATTTTTTCTACTACAGCAGGAGCACCCAAAAATATCCTGGCCTTGTTTGCTTGATGCGGACAAGACGATAACATTATCTTTATCTTCACGTTGCTTTGAGAGAGTATCATACTTGCTAATGGTGTTGGTTCCTAAAGTGGTTTCGTATAAAACCTCGCATGCTTATATAACCCATAAGAGTTGAAAGAGTTGAAAGATATTTGATAAGTGGCAGGAACCATGACATTAAAGTTTATAAAATCAAAAAACATATGAGCAAGGAGTTTGATATGATTTTGGATGGCAACTATCAGCTCTCGGGGGTCAGCTTTCCCTATTTCACCACTCAAAAAGGAGCATCTTGCGACAATGAAGGTCTTGACTTAAGTGCTATAAAGCATCTTGCAGCAACGAAAATATTGAATTTCTAGCGACGCACAGTACAAGACGGATCATTCTTCCCAGAAAATTTAACCACTATTTGTGTTTGTCCTTTTGTGTGCGTGTGTGGATACGTACCCTGCAAGAAAGAACAGAAAACAATACTTGCTCCTCCTAGACCAACACCACGGCCAGATGTTGCAGACCTCATGGCCATAGCACCATGGCCAGTGACTGGTGGTGGGTGTTTATTTTATGCTTTCTTTTTATCTTACAATTTCATTTGCAAAAGAACTTAACTGGGAATACTGCGTGATTTCATAAATAATACTCATGGCTAAAGAAACCAAGCGACGGCCAATACCATCATCCACAAGCTCATTCTGCAACGCTAAAAATTATTTCAACCTCTAGGAAAGGGCACGAGAACACAAAAAGACATCCAAATGAACAAAAAAAAAAAAAAAAAAAAAAAAAAAGGATAACTGAGCAGGAGTGCAATAAGTCTCACCTCATCTTGTTCCTTCATAATTTGACCAATGTTTGGTTTTACATGCATCTCATCACTCGGGGTAACTGATTCATCAACCTCACTAGTTTTCTCAGCATCTCCAACCTTTTTCTGAATTCCCTTTTTATGTTCCTCTACCACAGAAACCTGCACAATGAACCAGTCATATGCAATTAACAAAGACCATTCAACAGCATCAAACTTCTATTGTATGGAATCCGGGAGTCGAGAACTCATATTTCTGCATAGTTCTATTCAGGGGATCACGCAAGTTAAACTTTCATGAATGCCCGAAAGCATAACATTAGTCCTCAATTGCAGTACCTGGCAGGATAATATATTGGCAAACAACTAACAGCGATCACACTTTAACAAAATTAAAGCCAGTACACTGTAAACTCATACAAGTTCTTTTCACAAAAATAGCAGCTACAATTCCTATCTAGGGGAATCATAAAAATCCAAATATGGTTGGAAACGCACTATACAGCACAGTCCATTGAAAGCTTCAAAGACATCCTCCAAAATAATCAAAAAAACCAAAAACAAAAACCCACAATTTCCCATAAACCCTAAAAGCCCTAAGAACAAATACACAGCAATTGAAACACATATATGCATGTATGCATGTTGCTGGTGTACTTACGGGCGTGTAGCGGAACTTCCGGCGAGGGGGCTCATCCGGAGCGGCGGCAGGTTCGGCGGGGGAGTTGGCGGGAGAGATTGCGGTCCAGCGGCAGAGGACGAGGCGAGAGTTATTGCCGTTGTTGTTGGATTGGGAGCGAGGGTTTTGGTAAGTAAGGGAGGGGGATGAAGAGGACACGTGGACCCACCTCTTCTTCCACCTCCGGACGGGGCCATTGAAGACGGTGGCTGTTTGGCCGTACCTAGAGGACGCCCTGCCCAATCTCGACCCGAGTCCTTCCATTTTCCACCCGCTTTTTCCTCCTTCGGCTCTCGAGAGTGACTGAGCCACTGTGGGTGACTATTCCAGGTACGAGGTAAGGAGATGGAGATGGTTTGTTGTTCAATGCCTCGTACGACGTCGTTTCCATGTTCTGTTACAACGTTTTGTTGCCAAACACACGCGACAGGCGACAGCGTTCTGTTGACGGTTAGCAACCGTACTACTCCCCCCCTTTTCCTGTCCTTTGAAAAAAGGTAGACTTACTATTTAATTGTACCATTATTTATACTATATTTCTAATAGAAATAAAATCCGCCAACGTACGTAGATCATTTTTCTATTAAAGAGGTAATACAAATAATGGTACAAAATAGATGGTAAGTGTAATATTCTTGTTTGAAAAATGATCACTAGACTTCTTTTTTTCTTCTTTTATTTCTATTTAATTTTGTTCGTTATTTTTATTAAATTTATGGAGTAGGATTCTCTCCCCTCCCAATCTCTCTCCCCTTCCTTCTCCTCCTATTTGAACGATTACGGTTAAGTCATGTTAACGTTTTGTATTAATTTTTTAATAACCAGAAGAAGACAAAAAACAGTTTGTGGAAAGAGGAAAAGAAAGGGAATGAGAATAGAAGGAGAGATAATCCTACACCTAAATTTATATGGAGGCTAATTTTGTGGTGGACGCATTAGCTCATGTGAGCCTCACTGTTTTTAACCCATATTTTTGGGATTTTTGTCTTCCAATTTCGGCTATGAAGGCTTTTAATTTTGACTGTATGAGAAACAATTGTATTAGAGGTTTTAAGCTTTAATAAATTTCTTCTTCATCAATTGTGAATCTCGTTGATAAATTTTAGGAAATTTTTGAAAGATGTCCAATTTTATAGCCCATCTTTTGAAATAGATCCAATTTTTAGTGACTTTGATTTTTAAAATAGATCCAATTTTAGTCCAATTTGACCCATATCAAAAGACCGCTAAATTTTTTGTCATGCCACGTAATTAAATTGATTGAAAATCTCACGGAATGATCAAATATTGCAATGCTTTGTTAAAGTTATAGATCCTAATTGACAAATTTTAGTTTATAATTTGTACTTCTTTTCTTGAATATGAACTAATATTGACACTGAATAGTTAGGGTTGAGCTAAGTCATACAATGAACTTACTATAATAATTTGATATAAAACTAGCCCTCTTTGAGCGTCGAACTTACGACTTTTTCCTTGCAAATTAAAAAAATTACAAATAAAAAGGAATTTATTATACCATATCATTAAGTGACAATTCAAATAACTAATGCCATTGTGAAAATTAGGGAACGGGGTGGGTACTAATTTGGTGAAAGCTTTAGTGGACATAAAATAAAATGGACCAATTACATTTTAGTTGAAATCTAAAATAATTTTTAGAGTTTTAATTTTTAATTTTATTTACAACATAAGGTAATAAATTGTATCAATTGATGTCTTTGTTTGATCATTTCATTAAATTGATGGCATATATAAAAATAAAAAAAATAAAAAAAACTCTTATATAGGGTAACATTTAAGTTACATTTCTATCATATTGACAAAAAAACTCATCAATTTAATGAAAAATATTGTAAATTGACATAATTTTAAAACTGTAAAACGAGAAAAATAAAATCTTATAATTTATTTTAAAAATCACCTCAAGCCTGAAAGTATAAAATGCAAGTTATCAGAAATAAAATTAACATTGATAAAAAGAAAGAAATAAAATTAACAAATGCAAGAGAGCATTTGTTATATTTAAACATTATTTTTTCTTATATTGCACTTTTATTTGGGTTTTTCAATTAAAGTTTTATTTTGTGGAAATTTGTTAACTTTTATTTCATCTCGCTCTAGTGTGTCTGCAGGGATGAAGGAATGATAAAAGACATATGTATTTGGGTTTTTGGAGGCTGAAGATTGGGTCTTTGATTATATATAAGTTTTGTTGTAATTCTATTTGTACTATATTATGGGCTAAATTTGTACTTCTTCATCTTTCATGTATTCCCTATAAACATTGCATATCAAAGATATAACATTAGTAAAGAAATTTATATCTTTAACTGGGACTAAAGTTTTGATTATCTGTTGTTAATGCATAGGTCAAATTTTATTGGATCTTGCATAGGTCTAATTTTATTGGATCTCTCCTCAAGGGGAGAGTGTCACATCCCGGCCCGGGCCCTCACCACATCCCGGGCTCAACTCCACTGTAGAACCATATTGTCCGCTTTGGGCCATGACCACGCCCTCACGGTTTTGTTTCTAAGAACTCACACGAGAACTTCCAGTGGGTCATCCATCATGAGATTGCTCTCGCGCAAACTCGCTTAATTTCAGGATTCCTCTGAAGCCAGTGAGCTCCCAAAATGCCTCATGCTAGGTAGAGATGAGAATATACATATAAGGCTTACAGGATCCACTTCCCTGGACAATATGAGATGTTACAGTCCACCCCCCTTAGGGGCCCGACGTCCTCGTCGACACACATCATGCCACTCCGTCGTAGCACGATATTGTGCGCTTTAGGCTCTGATCATGCCCTCATTGTTTTGTTTCTAGAAACTCACACAAGAACTTCCCAGTGGATCACCCATCATGGGATTGCTCTCGCGCGAACTCGCTTAACTTCAGAGTTCCGATAGAACCTGAAACCAGTGAGTTCCCAAAATGTCTCGTGCTAAGTAGAGATGAGAATATACATATAAGGTTTACAGGATCCACTCCCCTAGGCGATGTGGGATGTTACAATCCACCCTATTTAGGGGTCCGACGTCCTCGTCGGCACACATCCCGCCATTCCACCGTAGCACAATATTGTCCGCTTTGGGCCTCGACCACGCCCTCACGGTTTTGTTTCTGGGAACTCACACGATAACTTCCCAGTGGGTCACCCATCATAGGATTGCTCTCTCTCAAACTCGCTTAACTTTGGAGTTTTGATAGAACTCGAAGTCAGTGAGCTCCCAAAAAGCCTCGTGCTAGGTAGAGATGAGAATATACATATAAGACTTATAGGATCCACTCCCCTGGGTGATGTAGGATGTTACAGAGAGAATCATGAATATTTATTGCCAATTAAGTATTAAAATCTCTTATAAGTGAGAGGTCTTATATTCGATTTTCGCCAAATGCGAATTTGAACCACATTATTGTTAGTTTATTGTGAGATTAAGCCTACCCCCTTCCCCTTAGTATAAATAATATCGTTTGTTAAAAAACAATATTCCACACATATTCCATAGACAAAGACAATCTATCTACCACACTTCATAAAGTTTTCATTTTCATTTTCTTACATAGAAGGTCGGACTTTTGATAGTATTATTGTAAATAACACTTACAATAACACTGAACAACAACGATTGCTTAGGAATTCCTTGTTCCCAAGGCTCCTGTTAATTTTTTCAAGCATTTTACTGTTTTAGGCAAGCATCTATGAGCATATATGTTCGCCAATAATCTTAATCTCTCGTCTCAAATATATGTGAATTACAAATGACTAGATTATGTTTTAGAGTAGATAAGCAGTCTAACACAAAGGTTAAATGCAGTCATGATATAAAAAAAATTAGTAAGTTGTTGAACCGTTGACTTGTTTCAGTCATGTCTCAAAGATGGGGCATGATATATGAACAGTTACTCAGTGACGTCACATATCAATCTTGGGATCGGAGCGTGACAGGGGTGTAGTTAATCCAAATTTTAATACACATTTTTAGAGTCCATCAAAATCTAGGTGTATTAGAAAATTACAATTTTGTAGGATTTCGTTAAGTTGTGGATTTTGTGGGATGTGTTCAAATATTTATTTTGTAATTTTTTATTGGAAAGTTGAACGGAGACTTGGTGGGTAATGGTGAATTTGTAATGGGTAGCAGTGGTGGTGGGAGAGTGGAAGTGCTGAAGAGCAACGACTCTCGACTATCTGTTGGGTTACCATCTCCATAGTCTTAACAATCTATCAAAATCATAAACCAAGTCCACATAAATCCTTAAGGGCCCGTTTGTTTGACCGGATTAGGGAGGACTGGATTGGACTAGACTGTAGTCCTTTGTTTGGTCTGCACCAAGATTAGGTTTAATGGGATTAAATGGGACTCGCTCGGATTAATGGCTTCGCTAGGAGTTCTTAGCCGAGAACCCCAAATTCGGCCGGACTCGTAAGACCTTCCGCGAGAGAAAACCTCGCTCATCCTGCGAGAGAGAGAGTTGTCGCCATCACTCCCTGCTTGCCCTGCTCCCTCATCCTCGTCCTATTCACCCTCATCTATGCGTCTTGCTTGCCTTCATCTGCATCTTGCTTGCCCTTATCTGCTCCTCTTGCCTGGTAAACTTTGAATCTTCGATTTATTTCTTCAATTTGTTTTGCAAATCGTGATATTACTGAGCTTTATTTGATTTATTTGTTTTAGGTTTGAGAAATTTTCAATAATATACCTCTGCAGTTGAACAAATTAGGGTTTTGATTTTTAGGGTCAAATTGCATATCCTGCTCGTCTTGCTCCTCCACCTTCTTCTCAGGTGACCTCTCAGGAACACTCCAACAAAACTGCCCCTCCTCCTCCCCCGTTCGATCCCAGTCAAAGTAACCCTCTCTCTCTCTGTCTCTCACTCTCACTTTGGTTCTTTTGAATTTGCACTAATGTTTTAAAGATGACTTTTTTATTTATCTGAATTTTTTCCTTCTGTTTTTTTATTTTTTATTTATTTATGGAATCTGGGTTTATTGAAAGGTGTTGAATTTTAGAATCTAAGTTGAGTTTTTGTAGGTTGTATAATGCGATTTAGTTAAGGTTTACGCGTTAGAGTTTGTCAATCTGTTAAATTTTATGTCGGGCAAGTGGGAACCTGGGGATCTTGATTCCATTTGAACCTGGGGAATGAGGAAAGGGGATCGTATAACTTGTAAGGATTGCAAAGTTATACCAGGAGAGAGCGTGGCTAATCAACATCGCTTGTTGGTGATGGATGTACATATCAAAAGAGTAAGACAAAAGAACAAGACTTGGAAGTGCCCAAGGACTAGATGGTGGAATCTAAAAGAAGAAAAACAAGTCATTTTCAAAGAGAATGTAATCACCCAATGTGTGTGGGATAAAGAGGGGGAAGCTAGCCAAATGTGGGATTCCATGGCTAGTTGTATCCGAAAAGTAGCAAAA